GCATAGTTTTATTTCATGGTCATTTAATAAATTGTTGGGTTTTATTTGAGGGTAACATGGAATGCTCTTTTTTAGCGTGGTCATTATAAAATGTGTAGCATTTTAATAAAAAAAAATCTTATATTAAACTGTAATGATTATTTTTAAATAGTGCCAATACAAATGTTAAGAACATAATTTAATGTTAACATTAAATAAGTAAAAAAGGCCCTCGTGTTGCTATTTTTTTCACTCATAAACCTGTAGTTTATTTTTAAACATAAAAATTTTCTCATGACTTCCTTATTTACAACTTTATTTTTTTTAATTTAGTCTTATCTACACATTAATTTGTGTAAGTATACAGTCCCTGAAACTATTAATTAACTATAATAATCTCTACTTATTAAAAGAATGTAAAAAATCCTTGCTTATCAAACAGTTTAAACTCCTTTCTGCTGCAAGTAAACAAAACAACAGGGAGCCTGCAAATTCAGAATACACAAGGGGGCGGAGTTATCATGTCACTCAGAATCTTCTTAACACATGAGTGAGCAAAGCAGTCCCAGAAAGCAGTCCCAGGGGCAGCTCGGACTGCCGGGACTGCTTTTCATAGCAGTCCAAGAACAGTCCCATAGCGGTCCCAGAGCAGTCCCACAGCAGTCCCAGAGCGGTCCCAAAGCAGTCCAGGGGACTGTTTTCTGGGACTGCTTTGGTATTAGGTTGGGTCTGGTCGGTACTGTAACTCTTACCAAAATTCAAGGTCATAGATTAGGACACATCCCACTATACATACGAATAGTAATATATGGGAATTATGTCTAATTAAATTGAGTATTCAATGCCTACTTATATGTTATGTATTCAATTTCCTATTAGGGATTGAACACCTTAAGGCTACACATGGAAAAAAATATGGCACTGAGGTCATAATGAGGTCTGACGTCATGACAGTTGCTCCGCCCTGATTGATCCATATAAGGATATAGAGCTCAAAATAACAATTTACCGATATTTACGAGAATTTCTAATGAACGGCAATATTTTCATGTTTAAATAGAAAAAAATTTTCTCGTATATAAAATAGCAAGGTTTTAAAAGAGTTCTCTTTTTTAACGTTTCGTTTGGCTGCATTCGGCTTTAGCCAAACTCTTGCACTCGATGACACGATAAAAATATTCATCAATTATTGTTATAAATGTCAGTGGTTTCAATAATTCCCAGAAAAATTTTGTAACACAACTTTCTTTTTCCATTTATAATTACATGAATAACATAAATTCACTACAGTATACAATGTAGCGTGATTTCTTTGTCAAATGTAATGCCATTTTATTTTGCAATGTATATTTAGTAATCTAATAGCATATTACTGCCTATATATTGTGTTGTAGGCCTAGCTGTTCCCAAAAAAAATGGAGCAATGGATTCATTCAGGTAGCAATTTAATCAATCAATTAAAGAAAATGGTATGCCCAATATTAGCTTTAAACCATCAATATTCCTGGCAACATTATTGAATTGTTTTGATAATATAACTTACAGCAGAATTGCAAACATGTATATGCATTACATGTTATATATCTCAATGCATTTTTTATTTCACTTTTTTAAACACAAATTACTTTTAATAATGGTATTTCCTGATCTTCTCATATTTACAGAATTGATTTTATCCACAAGAACATGAAGTGATGGAAATAATTTGCATCTGCCCAACATTCCTACAGTCTGTCCTTGGATTTGAATAAAAACTGTTTATTAAATAAATTTTCTTGGTAAATAATAATTTCAATCTTCCAAGATTTCAATTTTTAATCAAAATGTGCAAGGGCAAGGCGACGATCTAAAATGTAGGTTTTTATTTTTAATGATTTATTTATTGTATAATTTTCAAAACGTGAAGCTTATTTCTTTGTAATCCTCTAGTTAATTTATAATTCCAGATGAAATTAGGAAAATATTCTATTTTTTTTACACTTCTCTATGTTTAAGCTTATTAACTTAATTATATCGGAAAACTAACTGAATGAGCATACTTTTAAGAAATTATAGATACTAAGGGACAACCAAAAAACATTGTGCAGTTAATTTTTTGTCTTGCCCTTGCACTTTTTGGTCAAAGTTGACATTTCAATTTTTGACCTAAAATCGGAGCCCATATGACTTAAGAGGGTCACATGATGTCAAAATATACCGATGTGAAAAGCGATGGACATTCCCTTCAAGATAACAAATAGCTATATGTACAGTTGTGTATTTTAACTAGTGTGTCCTGCTACAAAAAACTGTTCAACATCAAATGTATCGGATTCAGTGATTTTTATTGAAAATGTTGCTTTAACTGTACTATGCAGCCTTTACTCTGACGTTCATAACAAAAAAATTGCAAAATTTCCACACTGCGTCGCATATTTTGAAACTAATTTTTTGTTTCTACAGACTTTGAGACGTGCTACTACCCCATACGCTCGCTGCACGAACGGTACACGAACGCTACACGGTTTGCACGAAAGGCTGCTCGGTTTACACGAAACACTTTGCACGAAAGGCTGCACAGTTTACACGAAACACTTTGCACGAAAGGCTGCACAGTTTACACGAAAGGCTGCACGAAAAGCTTTTTACACGTTTATCACACGTTTTGTACACGATTCTCGCACGTTTTGGCCTCGGTTTGGATTTTCTACGCGGAATATTTCAGACATTATTACAGTTTTATCATTAATTAAATGGAAATCTTCCATTTCATACATGTATGTCACAAGCTACCTTCATGTAACTTTTTGATTTTGCACTCCTCGTCGAGACATTCCATTTAATGCAACACCCTTCGTGTACCTTTTTATTGCATTTTATAACCCCGGAATGCCTGCGGGCTAACCTCTACTCATCAAGACCATCCATTTGATATGGCACACGATACTTTTTGGGTACATTTTTGAATTTACACTCGATGACCACAGAACATCTCAGGTTGACCTCTTCTTGTTGAGAGCTTCATTTTGATTAATCACTAACTTTCGGATAACTTTCTGATTTTGCATTTAATGACCCCGGAAAACTACGCAGTTATGATAAGGCTGTCCGAAGGCTTAAAATGCCTTGAAATATGCATTTTATTTTGAGCTAGATTTTAATTTCAATATGTAATCCTTGTTTGAAATTGCAGTCAACTTGATATAATAGTTTAATTAGATATTACAATAAAGCATTTTTGTGATGTCACATGACTGTGTTGATCACGTGACGGAGATTTATGACATTCCTAAATGTTACACAAAAATCGCTTCGGCACAAGTGCAAAACAAAAATACTGTGCAAAGTTTGTTATAAAGATCAATTCATCGTGATCTCTGGTACATAGAAAGTGCTGGGGGCAGGTTTGATTTTAAATCGTTAAGAAAATATTTTACGAGAAATTCAACTTACCAACATTAGAGGGGGTATTTTCCACTCTTCATCGCTATTTATACAAAAATGGAGCAACTACATACAATTCCCCAGGAAAATTCAGTTAGAGGACATACTTTTCATGTAGATTCACACAGTATATCTTGAATTTGTTTTTGTTTATCACTTGTGCCAGTCCAATATAGACACGATTTTTAAATTCTAACTCTGTCTACGGACTTGTAAGGGGAGCGTTTCACACATAATTTTTCTATAATGTTTGAATATGTGCGTATCGGAGAAGCGAAAGGAATAGGAATATTTAAATTACAAATGTTCAACTTTATAACAGCACATTGGAGTTTAAAAAACAATCCTAACACTTGAAATAAACAACAAGGTCCCAAAATAAATCTACATACCATGTACAAATTATGACACCTTTCCCGTCATGTCAGCTCAAGTATGCAGTGACTTGACGTCATATTCTATTATGACGTCATATCTTGGTAGTTTAAAGAAGTTAGTACGGTCTGAACAGTTCGGTATTTTACGGACAGCCTTATCCTAGCTGCGTATTACATGTACACATATTTCTACATAGATCAAATTTATATACTTTGCTCTAATTGGTCAAAAGTTTGATGACGTCATTCAAAATTCAAATCGTGTTCTATATAGGCACATTCCACTGCTATTTATAGCTAAATACTCATTGAAAGTATACAAATAGCTTCTCTGTTAACATTCCCTGGATTTGATATAAAAATTCAACAGGCAATATGTTCATTTTATATATATTACAAACTCTGCACTCTATTCGAACTGAATCCTTAACCCTGGGGCGGGGGTGGGTGGGGATGGGGGGTGGGGTGGGTTTGTGGTTTCACAAACTTCTCATTATCATTATAGCAAACAGCTTGTCTGCTTGATATTGTTTGTTTGTATGTATAATGTTTAACGTCCCTCTCGAGAATTTTTCATTCAAATGAAGATGCCTCCATATGCAGTAAGAGAGCTGCAAATTTTGTCCTATACTTGGCACTTACGGTCATTTAGCTGTGAGGGATCTTTTCGTGCCAGCACCTACTGCAACATGGGGCCTCAGTATATACAGACTCATTTGAAGGACAGGTCCCCACGTCCCACAGTGTGATTCGAACTTGTGACGTAAGGAACAACTCCTTTAACGCTCTAAGCACAGCGCTACTCGGGCGAAGGTGCTCGATATTCATGACAGAGCAGTAGGAGTTCCAAAGGATAAAAATCCTATATGTTAAAAAACTCATATCACCAAGGATTCTGACTGGTATCCTCGGAGACATGTGCTTCATAACTTATAAAACTCCTAGATTACATAACAGTAAAAAGAGTATCTTATCATTTTTAGATTTTTAAGAGCTGGGAGGAGTGAGTCTGGAACTTATTCATTTTGTCTTTTTTATACACACAAAAATTTATTCGCAATAGACCATCGATCAACCGCGGAGGAAAAGACGAAAATAAGTAAAAATAATCGTAATTAGCTCGTCGTACAGCAATAGACGAAAAAGAAGAAGATCACCTGAAAAATCCATGTAACATAATTTTGTTAAGAATTAATTAAAAGATAGTTTATATGAACTTACTTCAGAAGCAAAATAAACTAGCAGAACATAGAGTATCGCTCTCCTATTCATCATCACAATGTTTCCAATCCGTTGTACTTGTTGAATGATAGGAATACTTCAGCCTGTAAAATATTTACATGTATACAGACTTTTAAAGAAAGAAGTAAATGGCCATAATCTGTGTTTATCATTTTTATATTAAAAAGTGCCCTTAGTGTTTTCGAAGGAAATAAAGCTAATTGCAAATATTTAACAGTGTGTTTTTGCATTACCAAATAGTAATTTCAAAACCAAGCACAACGCAATTTTTAAATTTGATGAATTTGATTAAAAAAAAGAAAGCGAAAGTGTTTTCTGGAGAAGAAAAAAAATTTTGATTTCAATGGATTATTAAGGATAATCTAACGATGAAAAGTTCTAATTGTTAGTTAGCCTGCGTAATTTAGGATTAGTTCAAAAAGAGTAACCTGTACTTTAGAATCAGATAACTCATTTGAAGACATTTTTACATTCATATCCACAAAAGTGAATATATATATATATATATATATATATAAATATTTATATAGAAAGCACTGAGAAATTCAGTTTGATAAGGATACGCACTTCCGGTCCAGCCCGGGGTTGAACTCTCGACCAACGGAGTCTGTCTCCTAGCAGTACAGAAACAGCGCGTTAGACCGCTCGGCTATCTAGGCAAGTTAAAAAACTTGCTTTCGATGCCGATGGAATTCTCACAACGCTGCCCTACACTACACGGTCATTGAGAATGGAAGTGAGATACAGTTATTTGGACATTAGTTTTTAGAGGATCGTTACCAATACATGTTGTGATGAAATTAATTTTATTATAAAGCACAAATTACAACAACTCTTAAACTAATATAACTTGCCTAGATAGCCGAGCGGTCTAACGCGCTGTTCCTGTACTGCTAGGAGATAGATTCCGTAGGTCGAGAGTTCAACCCCGGGCTGGGGCGGAAGTGAGTATCCTTGTAAAAGTGAATTTCTCTGTGCTTTCTATATTAATATTCCTTCACTTAGGGCAGTTATATTAGTTTAAGAGTTGTTGTAATTTGTGCTTTATATATATATATATATATATATATATATATATATATATATTTAATTTTACCTATATATATATATATATATATATATATATATATATATATATATATATATATATATATAGAGAGAGAGAGAGAGAGAGAGAGAGAGAGAGAGAGAGAGAGAGAGAGAGAGAGAGAGAGAGAGAGATAGGTAAAATTAAAATAAAAAAGGCAGCACAGATTAAAACGTTAGCGCTTTCATTACATCTTCAGACGTTTTACAAATGCATACTATATCCTGACTGCAATGTCTTACAAAACTATTAATACTTTAAAAATCATTATCTATAATTGAATCTGACAGCAAGCAATTAAATGCTTGCAGTTTGTTCACACCTTTGAAACCAAATCCGACATGTGTTTTTACTCTTAGCCGGAGAACATCGAAAGGTTACACTCTGTGTGAAAGTTTTATCGGAAATCAAATTAAATCAAACTGTTAAGACTGGGATTAAATTTTTGAATGAAATATTTCTCCTTTTCTCTTCTTTTCTTCTTTTTTTCTTCGGGGCGATTTAGATTTTTTACGACATCTACCTAAACAGGTAGATTTTAATACACAACTTGTAACTTTAGATGTAGTAAATCTGTACACCAATAAAACCAGTACCTTAGGAATCAAGGCTTTAAATTTTTGGATTGTTCTCCGGCTAAGAGTTTAAACACATGTCGGATAAGACTAGATAAATTTTATCATACCATGTTTCGCCTGAAAATCACATATTTTGACCCATATTTAAAAATTAACATCACTGACACCAACTTTTCTATTATTTTTTTTTTAAGTTTTCGATACTTGTAACTGATCATCACTAAAATTAACGCACATTAACTTGCAAGATTTGTTCTTTGATAAATATTATTAAAACTATTTTATGCAAAATAAAATTATACAATTGTCATGGTTACATCTGATAAGATATGGTGAGGGATAAAGTAATTTACAAAATAGTTAAAGTTAAAATGCAAAAAGATCAACTGAATTGTACCGTAGATCAGTAAGATGCACACTGACCCCATATTTTTTCTGCGATTTTGAGTCACGCTATATGAGTACTTATCCTAAATATACTTCTAAAAAATCCTTGATTTAACAAATTTTACGAGAGACATACCTTAAATCTTGATATGGGTTCTAAAAGGCACACCCAATTTATCATTAATCACGCAAGTTTGTCATATCTTTTTTTTTATTTAAATGAATAGTTAACGCATGTTTCCCTGTAGATATTTGGGTTGGCATAGAAATAAATGAAATATGAAGATAAAAAACAACGTTGAAGATCTAAAAAAAAAAAAGATCAGAGAACTGCAGTGCCACCCATAGAAAAACTGTTTATTAATTGTTGTACTCGGTTCTGGAATAATTTTTCTAATTCCACAATAGCTTCAATTAAAAAGATCCTTAGACCTAAGTTATTAACTATGCTAGCTTGTATTAGACATGTGCATAAAGTGCATAAGACCAACATATCTTACCACCCAAAATGGTGGTATAAGTAGACAAAAATTTCGATGGTCTGAAATTCAGGCCGTTGGAGACCTTATAACAACGGTAATAATTAATATAATTAATATGTTCACTGAGTTATTAAATAAATTAGAAACAGGTGGTTAGAAATGATGTGCATAATAAAGCATGAAACTTGACAATAAAAAAAAGGAATTCTTTGTTTTCCTTCTCAATGCCAAGATCTACCAATTTGTTTTCAAATATTTCTCCAGATTGGAAATATCAAAAAAATCAAATAATAATAGCAATGTTTTACTCCGAAATGTTTAATTGAAAGATAACCAAATGACCAGCGAAAAAAAAATGTTAATGTTGTATAAAATCAATACAGAAGATTTCAACTTTTAACTTTTACGCAGATTATAAATATTTTAGTTCTAAATTTAAAGTTTTCTTTGAAAATAGTTCCTTATCTCCAACACATTACCAATACTCAATGCGGTGAGCGGTGTTGCAACCACTATTGAAATAACGACCACTATTGAAATAATTATTTCAATAGTGGTTGATAGTGCATTTCAATAGCAAACAAAGTTAGTAACCACTATTGAAATACGACCACTATTGAATTAATTATATCAATAGTGGGTGAGAGTGCATTTCAATCTAATAATCATAGGTTTCAACCACTATTGAAATACGAGCACTACTGAAATAATTATTGAATAGTTGGTGAGAGTACATTTCAATATGGTAACCATAGGTTTCAACCACTATTGAAATACTACCAGTATTGAAAGAAAAGTTTCATCGCGTCAGCAACTTTTGAAATAATTATTTCAATTTATTACACACTTCGTAATAAATACAGGTTTTTTGCATATGCGATATGGCTGACGTCACAATAGCCGTATCAACCCTGCACGGCTGATATGGGTTTGCGGGGCTGATATCCGTATCAGCCCTGCAAATCCATATCAGCCCTGCAGGGTTGATACAGCTATTGTGACGTCAATATTACACCCTTAGTAAATTAAACCACAATAACAGTAGTTATGATCATACACAATTTTTGGTGGGTTCATATTCTCTTAATTTTAACTTTTTGAAAATAAGGTTAATCTTTATTTACAAATACATGTAATACTATAGAATATTTTCAAATTACGGATCAAGTGCATTGAAATAGAAGTATAAACAAATCCAAATCTTATGAGATATTAGACTATGTACATGTATGAAAGAAGTCCATGCATGATTATTTACTTATTTTCTTCTCAACTGAATGTGTTCTGTATTTTATTACTAAGTATGTAATAAATATAATAAAACATACCCTTTTCCACATCACATCCTGTATCAGCTCTCGACCAATATCAGCCCTCTGGCTGATATTGGTGTCTCGGGCTGATACAGGATGTGATATGGAAAAGGGTATGTATTATTCTCTATATATATTGGATTCACTGTTCAATGCACTACTGGAATCAATAATTTAATCCATATTGAAATCTTTATTTCAAAAGTGAACATTATTTCAATAGTGGTTGAATCCTATGTCTGTTATTGAAATGAATCTCACCCACTATTGAAATAATAATTTCAATAGTAGTCGTATTTCAATAGTGGTTATTACCTGTGTTTGTTTTTGAAATGCACTTTCAACCACTATTGAAATAATTGTTTCAATAGTGGTCGTATTTCAATAGTGGTTATTGCCTACGATTTTTATTGAAATGCACTCTCGACCACTATTGATATTACTATTTCAATAGTGGTTGTATTTCAATAGTGGTTACTAACTATGTTGCTATTGAAATACACTCTCAACCACTATTGATATAATTATTTCAATAGTGGTTGCAACAGAGCGGTCATTTTATAGCACTTTTAGTTTATTAAATTGTGATGTTAAGAAAATTGAAATCCAACCAAACTTGTGTTTTTACTTCATAAGAATTTACTTTCTTATATTTCCAAATTAAGAATAATTGCATATAAGTTGTGCGTAAAACAGGTGGATATTGTAATCCTGTCATTTCTAGAGAAACAAGATGCTTTTCTGAAACACTGATGTCCCCGTATGTCAACATAGCGAAGGTTAAGCTTTCTTAATGCAGGTCAAATATGTTAGTACATAAAGTAAGGCCTTTTCACAAGAAATACAAATTTAAAATATGAAATGTGAAGAACCAAAGTAAAAGTTTTGATTTTGTGTGTAAAAATGGGTCAAACTCAAAGGTCAAGATCGAAGGATGAAGGTTTTTAATATCAAATGAAACGTCTTCTCGCAAGACAAAAATATGTAAAGTATAAAAGCCCTAGTTCTAACCCTTAAAAATATATTCTAGGTTGTATTCGAATAGTAAATCAATCTCCAAGGTCAAAGGCTTTGGTTAAGACGACAAGTACAAAGATACATAAAACGGAATTAAAAAGCAAATATCATGAATATTTTGTGAATTTCATACGGAGTTCAGTTAATAAAACAGAAATGTTCCTTTGTTTCCATCGATCATATTCTCTTTCGAAGTCAGTCAGCTATATACATATCCCA